GCTGAGTGATATTCCATTGTGTATACTTACCACATCTTCTTTATCCATTCATCTGTTGATGGACACTTAGGTTGTTTCCATGTTTTGGCTGTTCCGAATAGTGCTGCTAGTTACTTATTTTGATGATATAGCTGGACACTTGCGAAGCCCCTGCCCATCACCTGTGACGTCCGTCTCCCTGTGCCCTCCTCCTGTCTCTTGCCCCCATCAGGTGTAGCCAGCAATCTGGGTCTAGCACTTATCATTCCCTTAACTTGATTTTCTTTGTCTTAAATATATGTGTGCCTATACTTTTTCTTCATGAAAGTTAAAAAAAACACAAAACTCTTTTCTACTACTTGTCCTGTTGTGCCTGTGCTGAACGTCTGAAACAGGGATGGTACAGGGAGCCACAGAAGCCTGTACACAGTCTCATTATCCAAGTGAGGCCACTTGTTTTCCAGGGAGTAAGAAAAGGCCAATGTCTCACAGAGAAATGATAACTAACTAACTTCGTTTCCATTTGATTTAAGGAATCCATTATCTTTTTCACTTATCTTAATTTCTTTTGGTCACACCAAGGGTTTAAACCCAGTGACTACACTGCACTGTGGATGGACTGGGAGAAGGGCAGTCGTTGTATTGGACACAGCCTTTGGAGCAGAGGAAACACTTCCTGTTGGGGGCGTGGTGACTGCCCTTCACTTGATAGAGAGGGAGACCACACCGTTGATTACTCTAGAGCATCTCAACAAACTAAGGAAAGTTTTCCAACACAAGTCTGGCTATATCTCAAATAGATGAGCTTACTTCATTAAATAAACGATCAAAGAAAAGAATGTAAGTGATACCAGCTAACTTTACTTAGCATTTTGTGAAGTGGATTCGAAGAACTATAAAATTGGGCAGAAGGCAGGAAGCTTTTATAGGATAAAGAACAAAGAACAAGGAAGAGGAAAATAGAAAATATTTGATTGGCTGGGGTCAACTGTTTGGGGTGAGAAGGTCCAGAGTTGGCTTCGGGTTTGGGGACTGGCTGGCTGGGTATCCTGCATTTCTGGTCAACAGGAGCATCTACAGGGACATGAAAGTTGCCTAAGTGGCTCCCCAGGCAGGCGTGGCTCCGTCTTGGGGCTAGAAATTTATTTCAGTGGGTCTCTCCACATTTCCCTCTTTCTTAGAGGGAGACACCTGCACTCCTCCCATACGTGCTTAGTTGCTTATTCTATAGGTGGCTCTGAGACCGGGTTAAGATCGCTGAAGCTCTTCCTAGTGTCCTGTTAAGACAGCCAGTGCTACTTTCAGTTTGGAATGGAGGAGAAGATGAGGAAGCGTCAGTGCCCAGCTTGAGGTCCTGGAGCTTCGGCCCCAGTACCTGGCCTGACGGGAGTTGGTGTGTCAGCTGGTCTGCGGGAGTCTGAGTTTTTTTGTACCACGAAAACTCTAAGGCAGACTAGTGCCATTCAGATGCCCAGAGTCGGGCTGTCACTGCTTACAGAGCTGACTCCCCAGCTTAGATCAGCATGGTGGAGAGAAATGCTTACCGGGAATGAGTCAGCGGGGACTGCTGATACACTGAGAACACTCAGTGTGAATAGTTCTGGGAGGAGAATGTCAGCTCGCCTGGTAAACAATTGTCAAAGGAATAGCTCTTCCACCTGTGACCCATCTACGCACCTAACTGGTTGATTTCTATGCCAGGCACTGGTCTGGATACAAGGCTGGGATTGATAAATAAGACGTTGTCTCTTCACCAGAAACCTACAATTTCAGTCTAGAAGGGCAGAATCCAACACACCAATGAGAGTGATTCAGATTAGGTGGGGTAAGTGTCTCAAGAGACCCACATGAAGGGCTGCAGGGGTTTCACGGAGAAAGCAGCGGTGCTCACCGAGCGCCTACCGTGTGCCGGGTCTGTGCCCACACGCCGCTTTCGGACCTTGACCCTTGTCCAGCTCTGATGGCACCTTGTAGGAGCCTTATCACCGCTACACAGCAAACGGCACAGGATGAGCACTGGTTTTCCCTTAGTTCTGTCCCATGGCTAGGCCCTTCTGTCACTTTTCAGGGGACTGAATTTGAACTTTGAAATATATTCTAAAATGTCCCCATACATTTTTGTACTTATGGCCTTTTACGTTTTATTGTTGATGACTTTCACATGTGTATTTAACGAGATGCCAAAAAAAACTTTGGCAATGAGGGAATAACAGTAGGTGAACAAAAAACCCTTTGATTAGAATTTTTTCTTTTCATTTTTTGGTAACTTTGCTGCTGAGGATTTAGATAAGTCTGAACCATGATGCTGGCTTCTTGTGAATGATATGGAATTTTCCAGTGCCTTCTGGGGTGGCTGTTGGGGTCAATGATGTAACTCTGATACTAAAACTTTTAGGACCAACTGAAAGGAGAACTTTTCATAATCATCAGCTGGATGAGAGCAGAGGTTCTATAAGTGTCTCCACCTTGGCTGCTTCAAAGAGATGCACGTGCCTCTGGCCATACCTCTAGCCAACTAGATTAACATCGGTCATGGTGGGATCCAGCCTTCCCTATCTTTTAAAGCTCCAGGTGATGCTAGTGTGTGGTCAAGTGTAAGGAATACCTCTAGACAGTGATATTTAAAGTCTAATCTGCACTTGAATCCCCCAGATGTTGTTAAAATGCAGAGTCTGATTCAGCGGGGTTGGGAGGGGGTAAGGCCTGAGATTCTGTATTTCTCACAAACTCCAAGGAGAGGCTAGTGCCGTTGGTCTATCTCCTTCGAGCAGACACAGGGTCTTTGAGTAGGCAGGGACCACACTTTGAGTAGACAGGGTCTAAGTGAAATATTTCTCAGAGTGAGGTACAGACCCCTGAGTCAGAATCACTGGGGTGGGGGCCAAGGGGGTGCTTGCTGAAAAGCAGATTCCTGGGCCCTACCCTCAACCCCCTCAATTAGAATCTCTAGGGGTGGGCTAACATCAACTTGGGTGCTTTTCTAAAAGTGCTTAAAAAAACTCTACAAATAACAAATGCTGGAGAGGAGCATTTGAAGTGGAGAAAAGGGAGCCCTTCTGCACTGTTGGTGGGAAAGTAAGCTGGTGCAGCCACTGTGGAGAACAGCACGGAGGTAAACTACCATATGATCCAGCAATCCCACTCCTGGGTATATATCTGGAGAAAACTATAATTCAAAAAGAGTCATGTACCAAAATGTTCATTGCAGCTCTATTTACAATAGCCCGGAGATGGAAACAACCTAAGTGCCCATCATCGGATGAATGGATAAAGAAGATGTGGCACATATATACAATGGAATATTACTCAGCCATAAAAAGAAACGAAATTGAGCTATTTGTAATGAGGTGGATAGACCTAGAGTCTGTCATACAGAGTGACGTAAGTCAGAAAGAGAGAGACAAATACCATATGCTAACACATATATATGGAATTTAAGAAAAAAAAATGTCATGAAGAACCTAGGGGTAAGACAGGAATAGAGACACAGACCTACTAGAGAATGGACTTGAGGATATGGGGAGGGGGAAGGGTGAGCTGTGACAGGGCGAGAGAGAGTCATGGACATATATACTCTACCAAACGTAAGGTAGATAGCTAGTGGGAAGCAGCCGCATGGCACAGGGATATTGGCTCGGTGCTTTGTGACAGCCTGGAGGGGTGGGATAGGGAGGGTGGGAGGGAGGGAGACGCAAGAGGGAAGACATATGGGAACATATGTATATGTGTAACTGATTCACTTTGTTATAAAGCAGAAACTAACACACCATTGTAAAGCAATTATACCCCAATAAAGATGTTAAAAAAAAAAAAAAGATATAGGCATCCCTATGTTCATAGCAGCACTATTCACAATAGCCAGGACTTGGCAACAACCTAAATGTCCATCAACAGATGAATGGATAAAGAAGATGTCACACACACACACACACACACACACACACACACACACACATACACACACACACAATGGAATACTACTCAGCCATAAAAAAGAATACAATAATTCTATTTACAGCCACATGGATGGACCTAGAGATTATCATACTAAGCGCAATAAGTCAGAAAGAGAAAGACAAATACCAGATGATGTCACTTATATGTGGAATCTAAAATATGACACAAATGAACTTATCTACGAAACAGAAACAGACTCACAGACATAGAGAACAGACTTGTGGTCACCAAGATGGAGAGGGTGTGGGGGAAGGATGGAGTGAGAGGTTGGGGTTAGTAGATGTAAACTATTGTATAGAGAATGGATAAACAACGAGGTCCTACTGTAGAGCACAGGGAACTATATTCAATATCCTATGATAAACCATAATGGAAAATAATATAAAAGAAAGAATGTATGTATATATATACATATAATTGAATCACTTTGTCATACAGCAGAAATTAACATCATAAATCAACTATACTTTAGTAAAAAATTTTTTTTACAAATAAAGAAACAACACTTTTAAAAAACACTTATGCTCGTGTCCAGTCATCCCATCTTCCATCTTTCCAGATTGTAACTTAACTGGTGGAGGCTGGGGCCCAGGCACTTCCACCTCACCCAGTTGACTCAGCTGCGCAGGCAAGCTGAGAAGCTTGGGTTAGGACAGTGGTTCCCAAATTCTTCTAAACATTGGAAGCCCCTGGAAAACTTCAAGAACTCCCAGTGCCTTTGTGCCACTCTCATAGGCTGGGGTTTCATGGGTCTGGGGTGTGACCCAGGTACTTGAAAGGTTCCCCAGGTGATTCTACCATGCAGACACGCTTGGCAGCCCTCGGTGAGGGTATCTGTGTCTGAGCACATTGTCGAGGCAATTCTCCTGCGTGTTAAGGCGTGAGAGCCTGTGCTCTGGAAGGAAAGTCCTCGTTCGTTAGTGTAAGGAACACTTCCTGCTAGGGTTTCAATTATAATTCTATGAGCAGCCCTGTAACTATGACTAACTCTTCAAACATGTGTGTGATTCACCGGCTGTGGGAGGACCAGATCGGCAACAGGAAGACAGGGTAGAAGGAAAAATAATACATGTGCTCTAACCCTTTACTCCAGTGTTTTTGGCCAGTACAGCTGGTGGATTGCTAGGAGTTTTTGATACGATAGGAAGTTAATTCAGGAAGTATCTGATTGTAAGTTGGTGCTTCGATTCATTTTCAAGTTACCTTTTCAATCATCAGATTGGAAGGTAATGATATTCAGAGGTTACATATATTTGTTTTAGTGAAGAGTTCTGTTTTTAGAGGAAAAAATGAGGCCTTTAAAACTCAAATCTACCTCGATTGCTTCTGACGGTCCAGCAAACCCTGTGTACTTCTGGAAAAACACTCCTTTTTTTGAACCAATTATTTTGCTTGGGGGTTAAAAGCTTATGAGTAGTGTTCCCGGGCTTGTGTCTCAGAACCTGAACTCATTTCCTTAATGCCAGACCTAGATAGGCTAGTCAGAGGCATTCTCTAGGATTTCTCAAACCAGAGCTGGTTTCTCTTAGGTCATAAAGTGACATGGCATGGCCATCTCCTGTGGTGGGCGGGGACCTGCCCGCAGCTGGAGAGAATCGGGCCAACTCAATGAGAGAAGCAAGGTAAGCCTGGGAGGGGAGATGCCCTACTTCTCATCCCTGAGGTCCCTGCACACACCTGGTTATACTCAGGCTTACCTTCAGTTCTGTGAGCCATCCTAGTTCCACTCCAATAAATCACCTATTTTTTGCTTAAGAGGCTTTGCATAAGGTTTCTGTCACGTGCAAGCCATAGAGTAGTGCCACTCCAACATGGCGCCCTTGCCTGGGTGCCTCACTCCAGATGTGCAGGGGGGGTGCCTGCCTCCCCAGGGAGCCTTGAACGACTGGCAAGTCTTGATTACTGAAAATATGAAGCCAGGTCATTGCAGGGCATAGGAAAAAATTTCCATCAGTAATGGAAAAGGGGCAAGTGGCTAGAAGCAAAGGAGAGACTCAAAATACGAGAAAGGAGAAAAAACCCTTTTGTGGGTACCAACAGGGAGAAGTAAGCCTGGGTTTCCCCTGGTGCTGACCAAACGGACCAGAATTATTCCGCAAGGGCCACCTGTGCAGCTTCCCACACGCTGGGTTTTGGTGGGATTTTAAGGCAATAAGCACCAATATTTATGTTACACTTTACAATTTACAAAGTGTTTTCAGAGATATTATGTCATCTTCCAGGTAAGGAAAATTGCTCAGAAAGAGATTAGGCTTCCCCCAAATCCCAACTCTGAGGGATTGGAACCAAGACTCCCATCCAGGACCTTCAAAGTCCAATCCTGTGGTCTTCATCAACTCACCGCTGTGTCTGCCCCCAAGGAACAGATGACATCACTGGGGAGACATCAGCAGCTCAAACCTACTAGGGAGACATTTCCAGGAAAGCAAATGGATTCCTGCTACTATTAAGCGACAGATGTGTGTGAGACAGCAGAAGTGGGCCATGACTGGGGTAGGGTCTTCCAGTGAGTGTTTGCTCATCTCTTCACCCGAATCGTGTAAGGTCAGTGGGTGGCTTTACAGCAACAGAGACCACAAAACAAGGACATTGGGAATCCGGGTCCTAATCCAGCGTCATCATGAGCTGCTGGTCTACACCACAGGCAGGCCTCTTAACTTTCCTGGGCCTCAGTTTCTTCAGCTGTAAAATGAAAGGGTTGGACGAGATGATTTCCAAGGCCTCTTCCAGGCCTATAATTCTATGTCACTTACTAGAATGTTCGTGGCAAGTATGCTACCCCGTGGCTTACAGTGAATTCACTGTAATTACTGAGTTCAGAGCACGAGGACGCTGGATCCTAAATCTGTTCAACGTCTAAGTCCTGTTCAGTCATGTCAGGCCAGATTGTTTTTATATCCATGAAATTTACGGCCCTGCCCTTTTAGAGGAGGAGGTGAGGAAACTGCAGGTAATCTGTCCAGGTGAAGAAGGCCAGAAAGCTATAAATAATAGTGAGAGTAGGAACGAGCCTTCTGCTTCTCAAGGCAAGCTCACAGTGAGGCAGATGAGACAGTGGTTGCTTCTTCTTTTTTTTTAATTGCCTTTTGTCAGATGAGAAAAGTGAGGCACAGGCAAACTTTTATGTTTGGACCAAGGTCTCCTTATAACAGAGCCAGGACTAAGACCAGATTGTTGACTCTGATTCCAGTATTCCTTCCAACAGCCATGAAGAGTGTGTTTCCTTTGGGGAGTCCTATATCATTATAGTCTCATTAGCAAAATGTTCCTTTCTGATGGCTAGGAAAAGGATTCAGCAAGTGTCACTCTTGTTGACAGGTGTTGGAGAGAGATATATCATAAGGTGTAGAGGCCACTTCTGAATATCCTTTTAAATTTTTTCAATATTTCCAGAGGCCAGAGATACATGTATCTTAGGGTCTTCATCCCAGCAGCTGAAATAAAAAGAGAACTTGGTTGGCTTTAGATAGACCTATATCATTATTTCAAATTGCATCTGGCCGAAAAGCAATGGGGTTTTGCGAATGTTGTCATCTGCTCTTCCCTTCATTACAAGGCTTGGTTGCAAGTCCTGCTGACTTTTATCTTAGCACACTTGCAGTTTCGATTTACATGACTCATCTTAAACTTTATGATCATGTTCATCGTAATAAAGCTGGCTGACGACACTCTAAATAGCTGGCTTCCCATGATACGAGGCAATTAATTTTTATGTTGCATCTTGAATACAAAGTATTGAGACACAGTCTTTAAATATTAAACCAAAGAGGTAATGGTCTTGGTGGGGGGTGAGGTACAAGAATTGGATCCAGACAATATCAGAAAAGTTGAAATGCAGAAATAATGGAGAGACAGATCAGGAGGGACGTTGTCAAGCACTGGAATGGGATCTTAAGTAAGGCTGCCCAAGTATTTCTTTCTAGAAGCTTTGAAATGTTGAATGGTCTGGTGGTTTTTATGACGAGGGAACCACGGTATCCGAGGTTTATTTCCCCTTCTATTTTTCGGGAAAGAGGATTTTACAATGACATGACCTAGCTTACAGGGATATTAATAAAAGGGGCCCATAAAAGGGAAAGAGTGGTGGTTATAAATCATCCCGGGCGCAGGAGGATTAAAAAAAGAAAAAAAGATGTTAAAGCCCCAAATCCAGAGAGAGCCGGGCTCTCCTTGCCTCGGGCAGCTCTGGTGGTGGTGCAGGGCTCACTGCGAGCCTGGGGTGGAGGGAAGATCGAGGTCTACACGGGTAATTACACCAAACAGACTGAAAGGCGTGTTTGCTAACCTAAGAGCTTCCTAAAAAGGAAGCAGAGAAGTGAGGACATTTGGATAAGGAGGAGGTTTCACCCCAGACTCTAGGACCTGCATTAGAAGAGATTCCTTGTCCCAACAATGCCCTCCTGCTGTTGAGCTGGGTCAGGACACACTGTGGCAGAAGCTTTTCAACTATGTCCCCACTCCACTGACTTCTCAGAGGTCCTCACCCTTCTCCCTTCAAACTCCTGGCGCCCGGCAATTTTCTTCGATCAAAGATGATCCCATGAGTTCTACAGTTTCATTCCAAGATGTGATTTGAATTCCCTCTAGTTTTCCCATCTGCTTCCAGGAGAGCGTTCATTCACCAGCCACTTTATTTTAAATGTAAAATAAATGTGAAAGAACGTTCTCTGACTCCGGGGTAGTAGCACTCTCAGTTCACGGTGGTTAGAGAGGGATTTGCTTTGTCCTTGTGACCTCGGAGCCCCTTTAATGATGCAGCTCAGATGATGACCCATTCCACCTGGCGAAGAAGAGCTGTGTCACACGGCTCAGCCACTTAAAGCCGCTGTACCTGCATCCTCCAGCCGTGCCAGCTGCCCTGGTACACGCTCTCTGCTTGAGCACAAAGCCCCGGTCCCCCACCTACCCAGCCTCACACCTGGCTTTTGACTCTGTCCTTGCCCTGCCTGTGTGGCCTCCCCTTGAGAGCTTCCTGGCCAGGACACAGTCTTCCTCTAAGCCTCTTTTGCCTCCCCATCACGGCAGAAGCTTCTAGCCAGCCTGTGACAATATCCCCTCCCTGCTAGCAGCCACCCTGATGCCAGGGCAATGCCCAGACGGCAGAGAAATATGTGGGTCCCAGCCTGTTTCATCAGAGCAGTTCCATGTCCATTTGTGGCCCGGAGCTGTGGTGTTCAGAAGATTCTCTGAGCCGTAGGATCCTCTCTTCAAATGAAATCTAGTGTGAAAGACTTCATTTGTGGTAGAAAGTGCTGGTCGGCGATACTTAAAACAGGGAGCTGGAGTCTCACCTGCTCCCCCGTCCCCTCTCCCTCCCTCCCCCTACAGCTGTGAGAAGCATGCCTGGTGGGCTCTCAGCCCCTTTATCACATTGCACTCTGTCCTTATCCCGTCCCACGCACACCTGAGCATCAGCGGCCCGCGCAAACGGGTGATTTCTAAAACACCATCTCCTCATCTTCTCCTGACTTCCCTTTGTGCATTTCCAGTCCCCTGCTAGAGTTTACAGGAAGTCTGGAACTTCTTATCCTCCCAGCCATGTCCACCCTGCCCCCGTTTACCTCCTCTATTTCTTACTTCCTGTGTATATTGATGAGATTTCAAGCAAGTTTGGCATTACCTGAGTCCTTCTGTAATAACTCCTGCACAGCTCCCCAGCCACCGTGCCTACGATTGCACCTCGGAAATCTCTCCTGGATCTGTAACCTGTTCTCTGTCCCACTGCCACTGCCCGCTTGGGCTTTTGTCACCTCGGGTAGGGATCATGGCATCGATACCTGCTCTGAGCTATTCCTGACTCTGCAACAAAGAGGAAGCCTTCAGAGAAGTGAGACTTGGATCCCCCACTGAAGAATGGGTAGGGTATTTGTAGGACTTCCTCTGGTCAATAATCACGATCTTACAATATTCTGAGAGTACATTCTAAGAGTAGGCAGCTCATTGGAGAAAGTTTCTCATGGAAATGTCCATTGAGGGAAACGCAAGTACAGTCCATTCAATGACCTGCCTTTTGCATCTCCTCTTCTGTTAGAATGACTTTCTCCTTATGTGCAGCTGTAGTGTTGTCACATAGCTGTTCCGACGAGTGAGGAATCCCAGGGGCATCTCATGCTAGTGCCCGTCACTTACAGAAGACAATCTTCCTGGGTCTCTCCCTGTGCTTCGCGATTCCCCCGTGGTAAGAGAAAACTAACACACAGCAGTGATTGTCCTGTCTCGTGTAGGAAGGATTCTTATTATGACAGAAAAGTGATTTTCTTTCCTGTGGTTTCTTAAGGGTTCTCTAATTGGGTAACCCCCTGCTGACCCCTGGCTCTGGTAGTTTCTAGAGTGACATCTTTGTTTCACTACTTGCACACCGAGGCCAGAACGAGTAATTCAAGCCAAGGCAGAGCATGAGATAATGGGGCTCCATAAACCACGGTATTGAAAAGGCAGTGACCCCTAACAGTCACTGGAGTTCTCGCCATTAAGGACTTTTCTCACCTGCACCTAACAGACGGGGTGTGTGTTACAGCCCCACGTCTGGCCTGGAAGTGGGCTGAGTTGATCTGTCAGACTTCAAGGCCTTGAGCCTGGATGGCTTTGGAATTCATTCATGTTCTACATACACTTGAATAATAACTCAAAATAAGCACAAAAATTTTAAATTCTTTTTTGTTTTGAGAAAAATGGAAACTATGGGAAAATATGAAGGCTAATGTAACAAAAACCTATACTCCTACCATCTAGGAGTATACTAACTTTTCAAAATTTGTCTTATTTGCTTGCAATGTTTTTAAAGGAAATAACACATTCAAGATAAGATTAAGGGCTTCCCTGGTGGCGCAGTGGTTGAGAGTCCGCCTGCCGATGCAGGGGACACGGGTTCGTGCCCTGGTCCAGGAAGATCCCACATGCCGCGGAGCGGCTGGGCCCGTGAGCCATGGCTGCTGAGCCTGCGCGTCCAGAGCCTGTGCTCCGCAACGGGAGAGGCCACGACAGTGAGAGGCCCACGTACCACAAAAAAAAAAAAAAAAAAAAAAAAGATAAGATTAAAATCCTCCTTAGCCCCCACTGTTGGCCCAGGTCCATTCCCAGCCCCCTCCCGAGAGGCACCCTCTTCACGAGATGGTGTGTATCCAGGCAACCCATTCATTTCTTTTATTTTCTTCTACCGATGTGGAATTTATGTATTGCATTTGTGTTCTTTTAGTGGCAATACAATTTGAATATGCATAGTTATAGGTATATTTTCTCCCCAAACCTAAAATTTATCGATGTCTGTATCCTCCCTAACAAGGCAGTACGAGAAGCAAACTCTGCGCTACCTTCAGACTTTCTCCTTCTCTCAGCACCATGTTACTGCCCACTTCTCAGGTCAAGTTTATTTTCATCATATTAGCATTTCTCTCCTTTCTTCTCTTCCTTCCTTTCTTCCTGTTCTGTCTTTCTATAACTTCTCTTGTATTATTTATTAAAATGTATTTCGTTAGGTTTTCTCATGGTTGCTCTTTGCAATGTATCCCTTCATTATGGGTTTAGTTTTCTTCTTGTGAAGGTATATGCTTCATTGTTTCTTTCAGAAAACATCTGAGAGAGTATATTTCCTATGTTCTTCTGTCTAAGGAAATGCTTTTATATTGTCCTCATTCTTAAAGGATAGTTAGTGTGGGCATAAAATTTCAAGTTCATAGTCATTTTACTTCAGTCCTTTTAAGATATTACTCAGTCTTCTTCTGGCATTTTCATGAGAAAATTGATAGCTCTTTTGTGGACAATCAAATTTTTTATCTCATAGCTTCTAGTGCTTTCTCCTCAAATTTCTGCAGTTTTAATATGTATATCCAGATATTTTAAGTTTATTAATCCCTAGTGGGTATTTTTATTCTGACTCACATCTTTCTTTTTTCCCAGAAATTTTCCCAGTTTTAAAATTTGCATATTTTCTCTCCTTTATTCTTTTGATACTTTCTTTACTTTGGGGAAATCTTTTAATTAAATTCTCATTCTATTTTCCATGTGTTTTAAATAATTATTTTTTGTCATCCCCAGGTCTTTACCTCTCTGTGCTGTGTACTGGGACATTTTCTAAGATCTGAATTCTAACTCACTCATTTTTACTTTAGTCGTGTTTAGTTCATGAATTAATGTGTCTGTATTTTTCCTACAAAGCAATGATTATTTCTTGCTTTTCTCACTTTTGAGTATAAAAGTTTTTCCTCTTCTTTGAAATAATTTAATATTTTTCTAAAACTTCGATACTTCTAGTATAGGAGGCATTTCTATACATTGGGAACAGAAGGGAGGGGTTTAGTATACACTCGATCCACGACCTTGATTACTTTTTGGGATTATAGTAAATTTCATCCTTTCCTGAATTTTTGCATCTAGTATTGTTGCAATGATCATATTTTCCAAACTAAATATCAAGTTTCATGATCTGAAAGGGGATTGTTTTATAAGTTGTGCATTTATTTAAATGA